GTGGAATTGCATCCATCCCATCCCTCAGTTTGTTAGGTCAGTCAGTGAGAACTCAAAATTTGCATAACAAATCAGTCACATTCCTTGCTAACCCTTTTTTTCCCGCCCTAACCCAAATCATCAAAAAATTAGTTGAAAACATGTTTCATTTTTAATTATCTCCACTACTTTTAGGGAGGTTGAATTCCTGACTCAGCACTTCCAAAATCTTGCATTTATTAGGGTAGACTTGGTGTCAATCATGTTTAGACAAAGTAGTCTTAATTATAATGTTGGGGAAAAAAATCAGTCTCTCTTGTAGTCATATTAAATCAAGAACAGTTGAATGAAACGTTTATATAAACTTGCCTTCACTTGTCTTGTCAGCCTGGATTGTACAATGGAAAATTATGCAAAAGTGAATGTTTTGCGTTGCTCTCAAAAGAGTACTTTATGTTCTTAATGGAAGAAACATACTCAGGTACATGTCAAATTTATTTAAAGGGAAGTATTCATTTAAAATAAACTACTTTGCATTCACATTGAAAAAAGAGCCTCCTAAAGAGATAAGCCAAGTGAAATGAACAGGCCTGGAAGTGTGCTCTAAATGTAGTCTATTGGGAATTTCAGAATCAAAGACCCTTGACTGAATGAGACTTAGCCCAAGCCTAATGCTGAACAAAAGTGCTGAGATAGACTTAGCTCAGCTAACTCTTTTTCCAGAAAAGGCTAAAGGGCAATACATTCATTATAACCTACATGATGAAGACCTTAAGTTCCTTTAACTTCTATATTATCATGAATACAGACGTTAGAATAATTGCTCATATATATAAAACCACTTCATTCAAGTTTTCTTTAAGCATTATCAGAAACCATTCTTGCAGTCACCATTATATATGCACAGCTATACAAAACCCCTTACAAAACCACCTACAATGTAACTTATGAAAGCCATACCAATTCTGTATGTCATGAAAACACATGAACATAGAATCAGTACATTCTAGCAAGAGGTCGTGTATGTGCCCATTGGTATTCGGGTTGGAGGTAGATTGTGGATGGTAGCTGAGTTTGAGAAGGGGAAACTAATAAATTGAACATAAAAGTGGTATGGGTTACTTCCTTGTGCTTTGTATATAGGGTTGGAGGTATGTGCATCACTGGAGTTTTGATATAGCTGCAGCTCAGGCACACAAGAATGCAGACTTGCTCTCCCATTCCTATCCCAAATAATAAGCCAGCAGCTACACTCTGCAACTGTTACAGTCTCCATATTGTTTTTAAGAAAAGACCAATAAGCAGTATATTCCACTGTTTAACCTATATGCCACTCTTTTGTGTTTGTTTCCCTAAGAGAGTTTAGCAGATTCCTTACATTTGAGTAATCTTGCTTTAATCCCATAAACATGTCAAAATCTTTCTCTTATTTGGGGTTCCTTCTATATAGAGGAAGCAGATCCTGCAGGCATTATTAGTTTCAGAAAGTAAACAAACATAGTTAAATGGAACTTGTTACCGGAGGGAATTTTAAGCAGTGGTTTTGGAGATCCTTGGATAAGCTTTTTACTCCTTTAATTGCTTTACTCTGATAAGAAATTCTTACTTTGTAAATGAAGTTTTGGTTTTCTTGTATTTAAGTCATCTGGGAATAAAATCTTCATCACATACATTGCAAGAAGGGAATGAGAATGGATGGGAATTTAAAATGTCATTCCATTATGTAAAGCATGTTTTGCTAAGAAGTAGGATGTGCATATTCTTATGACTGATGTGAAGAGATGGAAGAATAAAATGGAAAGGAATACAAAATCTTCAGTATGTCTAATCCTCACAATGCCTAGCTACTTATCTTGTGTGCAATATAGGACCATGAGAATTCAAGTGGCAGGACAATTTTTCTCAGCTTCTTGTTAACATTTTCTTTTGCTTGCTTTGTGTCCTTTAGCCTGCATATCTGGAATTTAATCATCATAAAGATCTGTAATAAACTAGCATAAATGTTTCCTTAGCTCCTTAAAACAGTTTTAGACTTTTTATAAAATGTAGAATTTCAGTACTAAATACATTTAAGTACTGGTTTTGAAAATTCATTGGTGGAGGTGAGTGTATAAACATGGTTAGACTCTTTCTACAGTGGAACAGAAATTATGCTATGTTATTTTTGCCTTTGCCTACACTAAATCTTTGAAAGAGATTATTCACTGCAAGTGGTAGCAACAGGGAAATCTAGCATACACAGGCCTTGGGAATGTTTACTATCATGTTGTTTAATCCTATTCATTTTCTGACATTCATATTGCTCTTCTCTGCTCCATTCAAAACACTAAAATAATCATCAGAGCTATTGTTCTGACCATGTAATTCAATTTTTGGAATGCCTCTACTGCTTTCCAGAGCACTTAGTTCAAACATTTTGTTCTTGCCTTTTGGGCATTGAACCACATTTCCCTTTCTTGTTAATCTGCATTTGTGTGTATTTATGTTGATTCTCCACTACTCTGGCAATTCCTGCTAGGGTTGCCAGGTGTCCAGTATTGGCCCAGACAGTCCGGTATTTGTGGCCTCTGTCTGTTTAAAAAAAAACAACAGAAAATACTGGACATGTAAAACGTCTGGTATTTCCTGTTTTTTCTCGGACGGAAGGACTCTTGGGATATTCTTCCCTGGCGGGAGCGGGGGAGGCAGAGAGGAGGGAGTAGAGCAGTGGCCATGGGTATTTAAAGGCACACTTTTTTATGTGTGGGTGGTTGTTTTTTTCTCAACCAATTTCCCGTCATGTTGGGTATTTTTTTGTGAAAGTATCTGGCAACCCTAATTCCAGCCTTTACCCTCATTTATCTGATTCTTGCACATATGTGATTTTTTTCTACACATTCCCACTGGCATAGAGTTTCCTCCCTGAACAGATCCATGAACTCCCAGTTGAAGACCCATTTGTATTTTCAAGTCTCTTTGAAATTTGCCAGCTAATACTGACCAAAGTACAGTAAACTTCCGATAATCCGGCACCTTTAGGACCCAGGGGGCGCTGGATTATCAGATATGCTGGACTATCAGAAGGGGGGGCTATGAGGGGTCTGGAGTGGGGTGAATCAGGCATGCCTGCAATAGAGCAGCTGGGGTGCTGCCGGGTTGGTCCCGCAGCGCTGAGGGGCAGCGCTACGGCACCAACCCAGCAGCACTCCAGCGGCTCTTGGGGACGCCTGGGACAGAGCAGCTGGGGTGCTGCCGGGTTGGTCCTGCAGCGCTAAAGGACGGCGCTGCGGGACCAACCCGTCAGGACTCCAGCTGCTTTGCCCTAGGTGTCGGGGCGCAGCCGCTGGCGGAAACGACCCGGAGCGTGTCCCGCAGTGCCGCTCCTCGGCGCTACTGGACCAACCCGGCAGCACCCCAGCTGCTCTACCCCAGGCATCCCCAAGTCAGCCACTGCTGAAATTGCCCAGCAGCTGACTCCAGAAAGCCAGAGGCAGAGCTGCTCTGCCCCAGGCTTTCTGGAGTCAGCCCTGGTCAGTTTCAGCAGTAGCTGAATCAGAACCCCTGGGACAGAGCAGCTGGGGTCCTGCTGGGTTGGTCCAGCAGCCCCGAGGGGCAGCGCTACCAGACCAACTGGGCAGCACCCCAGCTGCTCTGCTCCCGGCTTCCTCGATTCAGCTGCTGGTCAGTTTCAGCAGCAGCTGAATGGGGGAAGCCTGTCTGGCTGCCTCAGCACTTCCGGGTTCCTGTTGGTGCCAGATCATCAGGAGGCCCGGAGCATTGGATGCCGGACTAATGGAGTTTTACTGTAGTAGGCATTTGGCTATGGTTAATTTTTTAATGAAGTCTGTGTATGTATACATGCATGCAGACATATTTGTGTACACACGTATATGCATGCACAATTTTGACTATATGTTTTGTTCCTTTCTTCCATATTTTGTATACTATTTACCTTCTTATATTATAAACTATTCAGAACATAGTCTGGCTTCCTTTCTGTGGATAGCACATAGATCAAACAAATACTGCAATAATCATATAGTGATGTTTTGGTAAAATAAAGCATTTTTAAAACTTTCCCTGAACATTACAGAAGTCTTATAACACCCAGAAAAATGGCTAAAATAGAGAAAAGAAAGACATTGCTGAGGCAAAAAACCAGTGACTCCACAGTAAATAATCCCATAATTTCATTTTGATTGTTTTTACTTTGATCTTCATGAAAAAAATCGTCCCCCTCCCTCCAATACAAACACATTTTCCAACTCAAGGTTATTCATGTTAAAAATGGGCATGTGGATTAATATATGTAAAGGAGCACTACAGTCTACCTCTATTGATGTACTTTAGATCCTGAATGATTTGGTCCCTATAATGTTTCTTACAACAGTTTTGAGCTATAAATAGAATTTCCTGACAGTTACTAACATGATTTTATGCAACAGAAACTCTTACCCTTTTAAATTTTACTTTATTTTATTTCATCTAATGCTAATCTACTGATTGACTGAAGATTAAAATGCCTAATTTTTTTTATTTCTTGACTGCAGAGACAGGGTTTAGTTGCCTACTTAATACAGTGAAATGTATTCAAGTGAGCAAGATATTAATGAAAAGCTTATTATGAAATAATTAAAACAAAGAGTCTGTTGCTTTTATTATTGCTACTGTTTAATTAAACATGTAAGAGTTGTGAAGTCCATTAGAAGAAGTGACCCTAAGAGCTTTAGGTCTGCAGACTTGTGTTGTAACTCAGTGCAAAAGCTCAAAAGACTTATTTTAGAATGGACATTAACTGGAACCATGTCAAACTAAGGTTTCAACTTACATAGGTTATAGTGAAAGACTTGTACGTGGAGGGAATCAAGTTATAGAGTGGGTCAGTACAGCATAAAGAGTTCTGTATTTCATAGTTTTCCATTTGAGTCTTACTTGTGAATAAAGTCTAGAAGTGCTGCTTCTTCAATGTTATTATTTTTCTTACCATTAAAGATTCTAAAAAGATTCTAAAATTATTCCTTAATGTGTTGGTTGTTTTTCAGTTTAACATGGCAGCCAAGCAGCTGATAGAGTTGGATAAGCCCTCAGGTTCTGTTCTTGACTCTGGAGAAGGTACCTCTGGAACATCCCATAACAATTCAGTTCAAAAGCACACTGATACAAAAAAGAACACCAAAAAGCGGCACTCCTTTACCTCCCTTACTATGTCTAACAAGTCTTCACAGTCTTCTCAAAACCGTCACTCGATGGAAATTAGTCCCCCTGTACTCATCAGCTCCAGTAATCCCACAGCAGCTGCCCGTATAAGTGAACTGACAGGCCTCTCCTGCAGTGCTCCTTCTCAGGTAAACTACCTGAAATTAAATACAAAACATGTTATGCATTTTTAATGACTATTGTAAAGCATTTTCATCATAATAAAGGCTTCTGATCCTTTCAGACTAAACATATTCAATAAATATTATATAAAGGGATGTTCTCTATTAGGTTATGCTCCAAATTTAGCATGGGGGGGGGGATTTTTTTTTTGTAAAGCCAACTGTGATGTGAATAGAAATATTTTCATGATTTTAAGTTTTATTTAAAGGTTTTTCAGTTTAAGCATTCTGTTCAAGTGTGTAAATAAATGAAAACCATCAGCAGATTTTTATAATATGTGGGAACCAGAAACTAGACAGTTTAATTGTTGTCCAAAATGAATAAAATATTGATAATTAACCAAGAGCACACATAGAGAAAGGTGACATGGTGACTTCAGAAACTCTTGGTCTTTGAACAGTCTCTGATATTAATTCTGATACTGATATGACAAACTCTTTGATTATATCCGATTGTATTATTTTAAAACTTTGAATATTCCTCTGTCTTGATGACACACCACTGTGTTAGAACAGTCTTCTGAATTACGGTACTTGTAAAGTTGACAGTTGTGGGAAGAATATATTAATGAAAGCTGTAAATGCTGAGATGATTTCACATAAAGTTTACAAACTAATTACATGTTTTATATTTCAGCTGATTTGTTCTTTGGTATTTAGAGAAAAATAAACACTAGATAGTTGCATGTATATCTCCCAGTTTTTCTGAAATTAACAAGCCAAAAGCTGCTAATGGTGGTATTCACAGAAGAGTGCTGGTAGTACATTAATCAAAAGGTGTGCCAATGTACTGCAACAATCTATTGTTTCAGGAATTACCTAAAACTAACATCAGTCTTTTTTAACAGGTTCATATCAGTACCACAGGACTAATTGTGACCCCACCCCCTAGCAGCCCGGTTACAACTGGGACTTCATTTACCTTCCCATCTGAGGTCACCTACCAAGCAGCTCTTGGTGTAAGTAGCATTTATCAAAACTGAGGCTCCTTGTGCATCTTTTGTTTCCACTGTCATTCTCCTTTCTGCAATTCTGGTAAACTAATTAGAAACGTTTGGGTTGTTTTATGTGATCACATCTGTGATAGACAGTAGTACACGTTGAACTATGATAAGTTTGGCGCTGAAGATCCTGAACAGTGTCCTCTACCATTAATTCCCTAAGCTTTCTCTGCCTTGTTGTGGACTGTGTGTCAGATGCATACTCTTATCCTCTCCCAACAGAATTTTTTTTTTTTACTCAACATGAGTCATAACCTAAGATAAAGGGGTAAGAAATGTCACATGAAAAGCAACTTGCTTGAATCCTCAACTTTTGGATTTTGAACCCTCCTGCATTCAGTACTCAGAACTACCATGGAAGAGTTCTTGAACCACATGCAACAAGAACAATGGTCACCTCTATCACTAGTGGCACAGCACCTGGCTTCAGGTCTCCCCAGAAGTCCAGAACACAATTCAGTACCTTTTGTTTGACACTGTGGGATTGTTTTCAGAGGAGATGGACGCAGACCACATGGTTTTAAAGATTCCCAGGCGACTCTCAAGTTGCTCAGTATTCATAGGCCAGCACCTCAAACTAAATCTTTAAGACGCTACCTTCTGTATGTTTCTTCCCTGGTCTCTATAGGCAAGATTATACTTGCAGGTGGGGCAGAAACACTCAGCAATGACTATCCTCACAATCTTCCTTAGGCCCAGGCCACAACTATTTGAAATAGGGCCCGGACGCTAAGGCAAACTTTTGAAGATGTTTCTGAAGACAGAGCACTAGCCCAAATTGTGGATCTTTGCCTCTGTTTTTGAAACCATCTATTCCACTTCTACCATGCCTAGTCTTATAGCATGATAGAAGTGGGATATTCTATCTAATTCTGTGCCCTCTCAACGTCTGCTTTCCCTGTCCCTCCTCAGGGACTCTTCTCAGAAATAGCTCCTCATTCAGGAGGTTCAACTGCTCCTTACACTAGGGTTAGTTCCCTCAGGGGTCTAGAAACAGGTTTCTATTCCTGTTACTTATTCCCAAGGCCAAGGGTGGGATCAGACCCATTCTAGACCTGCAAAACCTCAACAGGTTCATATTGGTTTAGGTTTTGTATAGTCTCCCTGGCTGTCATCATACCCTTTCTAAATCCGAGGGACTATTACGCCATCCTTGATTTGAAGGAAGTGTACTGTTTATCTCAATCATACCACACACAAGAGGTTCTGGAGATTTGTCATCAACAGTTGCCACTATCAATTCACTGTTTTGCCATTTGGCCTTTCCAGGGTTCCAAGCATGTTCATGAAGTGCATGGCAGTAGCAGCAGCTTTTCTGTGCAAATGTTGGGTACGAGTCTTCCTGTTCCTCAACCACTGGCTCCAGGGCCAGTTGCAAGAACAAGTTCACCACCGAACTGACTTGAGTGATATTTAGTGAAATGGGTTATTCTGAATATTCCCAAATCCAAACTGGCCCCAACACAAGAGAGAGATTTCATCAGGGCCCTCCTGGACTCTACATGTGTGAGAGCATACCTGCCCGAATCCCACATTCACACAATCAGAAATCTCATTGGCAGTCTTAAAAGGATCCCAACCATCCCAGCAAGTAACTGCATGAGAATCTTGGGGCACATGGTGGCCTTCAGGATTGTGATGTAGTACCCCTACAGTGATGATGGGCACCCAAGGCTAGTGAGTGGGCTATATGAATGGCCCTACTTCATCTCAGTGGGCCATAAGATTGAAATCAGTCATGTGCACTAATCATGTTCCTAAGAATAAGATTAAATATATTAATGCATGGCATGGTGAATATTTCAAAACAAATAGAAATGCTTTAATCATTCATATATTAATAGAACTGTCCACTTCACATTTTAAAAAAAGAGAGCTTGGGGTAGAGTGCGCCAGTGGCTGGGAGTCTGGCAGCTGCAAATGGGACCTGGATTGGTAGCCGGAAGAAGAGCCAGGAGCCACAGCCAGTGCTGACCACCAGGGGCCCAACTGTCGGAGTTGCTGGAAAGAAGGAACTGAGAGGATGAGGATAGGCAGCACTTAATATACTGGCACATTAGCATAGCACTAAAGAGGATGTTGCTGACAACCCTATGGATATTGCTAAGGCAAAAAAATCTCTGATGACCACACAAATAGATGCGTGCATACCTAGAATGGAAAGGAGCTGACCAACTCATTTCAAAGAACAAGTTACTAAAGGTAGGTAATTGTTTTTTGCCCAACTCAGATAAAGGGGCACATAGAATTTGTTTTCTGTATTTGAATCCAGCTTTCTCTTATCGAAAGAAAAGAAAACCTATGTTCTGAGGCCGTATCTCCACTTGCCATGCCAGATATTGATCTTCTAGTAAGGACCCACTAAATGGAATGCTGAGGGCTCCCCCAATTGGTGCCGGTACTCCTCCTCCTCATGAGGAGTAAGGGAAGCCAACATGAGTGTATGTTCCATAGTAGGAGGTCAATGGAAGAAACTCTCCCATCAACTTCCTTTACTCCTCAGAACTCTGTGAAGTAAAGGGTTTGACAGGGACACCATTAGAGTTCTGTTAGGAGGGTCCTTATTAAACTAGTTTAGACAAGCCCTAGATACTTATGGGCAAATCAATGCTCCAGAGATTGAGCTTCTGGGATTTGATTTATTACATTTAGTAAGGAGCCATTAAATTGAAATCAGATGGTTCCTCAGCGGAACAGAGATAGCTATTTAAACCATCCATAGCAAAGGTCGTATGACTACAACCGACTCAGACAACAGTCTCAGAGGAAGCACCCACCTCAGTTTCACTCCTTGGCTTCCCAGGCTATGAAGCAGCACATTTGAACATTTAGTTGAGGTTCTGCCCAACCTTCTCATGATTCCAGTGCCAACAAATCAGTACCATCTTTTCACCCACAGATTAATTCCCTTTTTCTAACACTGGGACTCCATAACATTGGACCAATGGGTTTTAGAAATTATTCCTACAGGATACATCAGTCCTACCCTCCCCCATCCCTCTTCATGGACCTCTCCCATGAGACCCCTCTCAGACAAGAAACTGACCGCCTTCTTCACCTAGGAGCAATAGAAAGGGTCCCCAACCCTGTCAAGGGCGAGGGTTTTACTCCAAATACCCCCTGACCCAAAAACACACAGGGGACTGGCGACTCATATTAGATCTCCTCAAATTCAACAAATTCCTATGCAAAGAGTGATTCAAGATGGTTACACTGGTATCAGTTATTCCAGCACTGGATGAAGGGGACTGGTGTGCAGCCGTCAACCTACAGGACACATACTTTCATGTTGTGATACATCTATCGCAAAGATGCTATCTGCAGTTCATCATGGGAGAGGACCATTTCCAGTACAAAGTTCTCTCCTTTGGTCTATTCTCCACCCCTGGGTCTTTTCAAAGGTCTTAGCAGAAGTGACAGCTTACCTTTGATGGAAGGGGATTGTGATTTTCCCTTACTTGGACGATTGCCTCATAAAGTGCCGATCACGTGCAGAGGCAACCACCATAGTCCGGAAGACCAGACACTTATTCCACTATCTGGGTCTCCATTTAAACAAACAGAAATCAACTTTGGATCCTGTTCAGAACATAGAATTCATTGGGACTCATCTCGATTCTTTATCTTCCCGAGTTTACCTGCCACACCATCATTTTTCCATGATACAGGATCTGGTAGCCACATCATCCATGAGTATTTCCACCACTGTACTTACCTGCCTCCACTTGATGACCCAGCCATATGGCCACTAATACTTACATAATTCAGTATGTGCTAGGGATGTACACGACTAATCAACTAGTTGACTACCCAATAAGCAAATGCTTATTGGGTAGCCGAGTAGCAATTCAACTAGTCACTTCCCACTCTTGCTAATTCTATCAGAGAGAGGCAACAAGGGGGGGAGCACAAGCCGGTGTGACTGGGAGCCAGCTTAAAAGCTGGTTTCCCTCCCCCGTCTTTGTGGGGGGCAGGGGAGGCAGAAGGCAGCAAGAAAACAGTGCAAGTAGGGATTGAAACAGTCCCGCTCATGTCGGTCCAATTGTTACTCCTCTCCCTTTGAAATATACAAGAACCGCCTGTGGCTCTTGTACATTTCAAAGAGAGAGAAGCAGAGAGAATCCACTGCATCTCTCGTTTTGAAATATACCAGAACCACCCACTGAAAGGTCACTACCCTCATTTTGAGAATCTCTGGACTAAAAGTTGTGATTTACCTGTGCCTCCTGCCTCTATAATTCTTGTGATGTAGCTATGTTAGCTTAACTCTGTAGTATATTGATGAGTGTGATAGGTAATTTTGTCAATATGCCAGAAGTCTTAAACATTGTCAATTTTTTAGTAGGCAAACATAATGATAGTTACTTAAGGTGTTGAACTTCATTAATTTCATTTAATATTTGTTAACCACCTTCAGCAAAGTATTTTCAATAGTCTGTTTTATTTTAAAAGAACAAACCAAAGATCCTCTACTATGGTACTGGTCTACGATTAAGTATTAACAGAACAAAAAAAAAATATGAGAGAGATCTCACCATATATTTCCATGCCAGTTATATTGTAAAATCTATGGATGTAACATTTCAAGTGTTTAGAAAGTAATACATTTGTAAATCTAATATATAAAGGAGAATGTTTGTATGTTTGTGCTCTAATAACTTGGACACTATAAGACCTCTCGCAACCAAACTTTCCATGGGGTAACCTTTCCTCCAGGAGAAGGTTTTAAGGTACCGTGGGAGGGTGTGATGGGGGCCCCACTCTCTCCTCCTCCCCCCGCACTAGCTCTGCCGGCAGCAATGCGCTCCCAGACCACTGATGTTCTGGGCTTGTGGCGCTTGCACAGAGGCGGCACACAGAGGCCCGCCCTCATGGCGCAGGCACGCCTCAGCCAGCATGCAAACCAGCGGACAAGTGGACCCGGGGAGAGCAGGGGCACTGGTAGGGACGCCGGCGTGGAAAAGGGCACTGACAGTTAAAACCAGCGCCGGGCCAGACACAAGGGGGGGAGAGAGAGAAGGAGAAAGGGGGAGCAGGGTCGGCTCTTTTGCACGCTGCCAACCCTCCCTTCCCCACCACCTTCCTAACTGCTGGCCTGTGCCCCACACAGACAGCACCACCCTCTGCCCCACCGCTTCCCCATCACCTCCCAAACTCCCCTGCCATCTCCCAAACTGCCAGCCTCTGCCCCACACAGACAGCACCCCACTCCTCCCCACCCCTCCCCCGCCACCTCCCTAATTGCCGGCCTGTGCCCCATACAGACAGAGAATCTGATTTTCTTCCACCACATCTGTTCAAGTACCACCCTATCTAATATATAAAAGAGAATGTTTGTAAGTTTCTGCGCTAATAACTTGGACACTGTAAGAGCTACCACAACCAAACTTTGCATGGGATAACCTTTCCTCTAGGAGAAGGTTTTAAGGTACTTTTGGACCTGATCTGGGTCCCGCCTTGCCCCCCACGCCACCTGCAGCCCTGGGTGTGAGCTGGGGCACCCCTTCCGTGTGTAGCCTCCTGGGACTCACAGTGCCCCCACCCCCATGCACACAATGGCTCGGGCACCTGCCCTGCCCCATGTGGCACCTGCAGCCCCAGGCGCAAGCTGGGACACCCTTCCCGTGTGTAACCTCCCCTCCACCCAGGGTTGCTCCCCATCTGCCACTCCCAGTCCTCCGGAAACCAAAACCAAAGCTGGCCAGCCTTTCTGCTCAGTTCGCTGGCCTTATCTGAGCAGAAGGAATCCGTGTGCCTGCTGCAGTGCAGGGCGGAGGGGCCAGGTTATACTGCTGTGAAGCCAGCCGCCTACTGTTCATACTGTGAGTGGGGCTCTTCTGGGTCTGGTTCTAGCCATCAGGGTTAGATGTGAGCTCTGAGCTTTTGCTTGCCAAGGCAGGGCAGGTGGATTCCTGAGCCAGCCTTGCAGAGAAAAGTCCCCTTGCTACTGGCTGCATGACTGTACTATTCTCCTGGGGGCTGGCTGCTTGGTCCTGAGGGGAGGAGGATCCTGCTGCTCTCACAGGGTCAGGTATGGGCCAGGAGCCATCAGCCCCCAGGGTCTGTGGCTCTGGGGATCCCCTGGCTCAGGGTCCCCTACTTTCCTAAATTTCTAAATTTTGTTCCTCTGGTTTCCTGAGCAACGCCGGGTAAATCCAGTTAGTTCCAAATAAATTCCAAGTGATCTCCTTTCCTTATATAAATGGATTGTAAATTATACTTTGTTAACAAAAAATATGAAGTATAGGTAGTTTTGATAATTTTATTCTTCAGTAGCAAACAGTTTTAAAACCATTATGGGGAGTGATGTTAGGTTTTTGTTTTGTTTTACTCATCTAGAGTACTAAAATACATATTATATTCTTCTGGGAGGTCATATATGTTCTGTCTTGAGTACAGTTGGTTTATCTGGAAATCACAAGAGTGTATATGTAATCAGAAGATTTAAATAAAAATAAGGTCCAAGTGTTTCAGATCTTACCTTACTGATCACACCATTATTACACATTTTGGGGAATATATGTTTTTTTATATTCTGTTTAGGTGATGTTTTCATTTCTGCTAGGTTTTGAAAACAATGATGGTGCCATTCATTACTGTATATTGGAAGTGCAAGATTGCATTTTAAAAAAGCTGTCTTCATTAATGTGTCTGCTGAATGCCGTATGAAGATAATCTCAGTATGTGTAGTGCTATGACATCTTGTATGAATATTTACTTGGAAAAATGAAAAAGAAGAAATTTAACCAATTCTTACCAAAAAAATCTAATTGAATATAATTTAAATTCTGAATGTCATGGTAGTGATCTGTATTTATGTGCTGATGTATTGGAACAGACAGGCATACAATACATTTTTGTCAATGTGTATTTTTAATTTGGGGATTTCAAAGCTGAATAAACAATCGAATGTTTCAGAAATGTGTTTAGAAATTAAGGGATTGTTTCACAGTAGGTTTGATAGGTGAAAATAGTTTGTGCTTTCTGTGTTACATACTGGGAGAAGGAGTGCGGGGGTTATATTCAGTTTTTACATGGTATAGTTCAAAGAGGGTTTGGGGAGGCAGTCCTATTTTGTTTTTTTGTTTTCCCAAGAGTGTCAGTATACAAGCTGCTAAAGAATTATCTGAGGTTTTATAGATCAGAAGGTAACAATTACTCTATTGATTTTCAAAAGGAATGGAATCCTGTAGGCAGAACCCCTGTTAGGATCTGCCTGTAAAGGAACTGCCACTTTTCACTGGAGCGCTTGTTAAAGATTACCAGTCTTGATAATACTGAATTTCAAAAGCTGGCATTTCTAAGTAGAAGAATAAATGAAAGTAGCAACAATAGCACAGTGACTGTGGTCTACTATTGTTCTTGCTTTTTGTAGCCCACACATCAAAGGGAATTTTCCATTAGAAGGAGTGATTTTTGGGGTGAAAATGACTGCAGCTGAATTGTATATTGTGTTTCAGCTTGAAGCTACAAAAACAACCAGGGATTGAAGTCTATTCAACAGCAGGATGTAAAACTTACTTCTTTGGAAGGATTCTGGATTCTTTTCAAGAATTCTTATGAAAATGTTGTTAGTTAAAATTAGAAACAACACTTTCAGCTTCCCCTGTGCTGGGAAACTGCTTGTTTCCTTAACTGCCTGTCGTGACTTCAAAATCTTAAACTGGAAAAAGAGAGAAATCTAGTTGTCTGGTTGTGTCTTAACAATGAATGATAGAATGCTGTGCTCAACTAGTTTAATGTTAAATATTTTTTTTCAGTATCTTAACACACTTTATTTTCTCTTCTTTTTTAAATATTCTGTTAATACTAGAATATGAATCCCCCCCTTCCTCCACCACCTCTTTTGTCTGCCACAGTCATTGCTTCAACATCTTCAGGGCTGCCTTCTTCAGGAATAGTACAAAGGCCTGTATCAGGCTCCACTGACCAAACAGCACATTTACGTCCACAGCCTCGACCAAGTGTGTAAGTGAAATTCAGATATGTTGCCAATAGTGAGTTTGGGGAGTGAGCAGAAGGTGTGGGGTTTATAAGGGGAAGGGGAAGAAGAAAATACTCTAAGACAAGTCATTTGGATATAAACTGGAACATGCTCATGACACGTTATCTGGCCTGACTCCTGCTAAAATTCCCAGAAAGCAGTGTATATAATTAGGAAACAGAAGCAATGCAATAGAGTCGATATGTGATTTCCTCTGTCTTCATACTATTTACCACAAAGGTAAATACAATAGTATTCTGCTACATTGTTATTATGTGGACACAGTACAAATATATAAAAGCGGCAAGGAGTCCTGTGGCACCTTATAGACTAACTGAAGTGTTGGAACATAAGCTTTCATGACATGCATCTGACGAAGTGGGTCTTTGCCCACGAAAGCTTATGCTCCAACACTTCAGTTAGTCTATAAGGTGCCACAGGACTCCTCGCCGCTTTTGCAGATTCAGACTAACACGGCTACCCCTCTGATACAGTACAAATATATGACATATTCATTATTTCAAGAGTGAATATACATTTTTTTCCCCTTGAATTAGGGATCAGGACTACCTAATTCACAGGTAACAATATCCTGAGTAAGTTTCTTCAATGTCATCTATTATAAAAGGAAAGGAAAACAAAACCTATCCCCGTGTGGAATAATTTATGCCAAAATACAGAAAGCATTGTATCTTGTTTGGTATGTTATATTATCATCACATTGTCAGACTGCCTGTGTGGGTTGCATTTGCAGTTTGTCTGAGGATTCTACATTTAAGTAATTAGTGGGCATCAATTTGGAATGAAGACTGAAAACTGCTTGTTAGTGTTATGTCCTCATTCTTGTAATACATGTTAATGGGAATAATACTGCCAGGTGGAAAATATATATATATAACATGTATTCCTGACAACATCTCTCTTCCTGAAAATGTTGTATGAGCAATCTGGGAAAGTACATTATGCAGGTAGGGGACTGCCCATATTGTGGGACAGATAGAAACACTACGGGTTTCATATAGTTGGGAAGGGAACAAAAATACCTGCTTCATATAGTCATTGTTTTAATCATACTGTTAAACAATAATACAATAACATATTTAAATATTTTTTGATATTTTCTACATATTCAGATATATTCATGTCAATTACAAAACTTTCATATTTTATTACAAATATTTGCACTGTATAAAAGATAAAAGAAATAGTATTTTCAAGTTCACCTCAGGTGAGTACTGAACTACAATTTCTTTATTGTGGAGAAGATACTTATACATGTAGGTTTTTTGTTTCATAACTGAATTGAAAAACAAAACAGTATAAAACTTTAGAACCTACTAGTCCTCCATTATACTTGTTCAGCCAATTGCTAAGACAAACAAGCTTGTTTACATTTATGGGATATAATGCTTCCCCTGTTTACAATGTCTCCTGAAAGTGAAAATAGGAATTTGAATAGCATTTTTTTTCTAGCTAGCATTAAGGTATTTATGTGCCAAATATGATAAATATCTATATCTCCTTTCATACTTCAGCCACATTCCAGAAGACATACGGTACTTCCATGCTGGTGACAGGTTTTGCTCAATAGCGATTGAAAGCAGTATGGATTAACATAAGTTCATTTTCATCATCTGAGTCAGGTAGAGGGTTGATAATCTTTTTTGATAGTTCCTCATTGGGTTGCTGCTCTGTGAAGACTTCTGACAGCATACTTCGTCCCATTCAGACTTTTGAAGGCACTTGAGATTCTTAAATCTTGGGTCATATGTTGTAGCTGTCTTTAGAAATCTCACATTAATTCCTTCCTTGAGTTTTATCAAATCTGCAGTGAAAGTATTTTTAAAGATGTGCTGGGTTGTCATCCAAGACTTCTGTAACACAAAATATGTGGCAGAATGTGGTTAAAACCACAGACCAGGAAACATAAAATTCCCTCCCAAGGAGTTCTGCCACAAATTTATATAATGCATGAATTAAATTTAATAAGCATCATCAGCATGGGAGCATGTCCTCTGGAATGGTGGCCAAAGCATCAATGGGCATACAAATGTTTAGCATATCTGGCATATGAATGCCTGTTCTCTCTTTCTGGTGACATTGTAAATAAGAAGCTAGCAGCATTATCTCCCATAAATGTAAAAACAATTATTTGTCTTAGCAATTGAACAAGTACAAATGAGTGGACTTATAGGGTCTAAAGTTTTACAATTTTTTGTTTTTGAGTGCAGCAACAGCAAAAATCAACATTTGTAAGTTTCACATCCATGATAAAGGGTTTACACTATAGTACTCGTGTGAGGTTAATTGAAAAATACTATTTCCTTTGTTTTTACAGTGCAAGTAAAATTAGCACAGTATTCTTTGTATTCTGTGTTGTAATTGAAATGAATATATTTGAAAATGTAGAAAAACATCCAAAATATTTGATGCATTTCAGTTGGTATTCTCTTATTGTTTAACAGTGCTATTAAAACTGCAATTAATTGTGATTAATTTTTTATTCAGATAACTTGTTAAATTGTTAATTAATGAGTTACTTGCTCAGGTGAACTGCAGTTGTCAGCACTAGTTTAAATATTAGATAAAGAGAAATCATGTGCTTTTCTTTTTTCCAGGTACATTGCTATATATCCATACAGCCCTCGAAAAGAGGATGAACTGGAACTGCGTAAGGGGGAGATGTTTTTAGTGTTTGAACGTTGTCAAGATGGCTGGTTCAAAGGGACCTCCATGCATACAAGCAAGATTGGTGTTTTCCCTGGCAATTATGTGGCTCCAGTCACCAGGTAGGATTTTTTTTATACAAGTGTCTTAATAGTTTACTTTATTTCTGTTTATTCACGTTGCTTTGTGTGTTACCAGCAAATGATATGAAGAGCAGCACCTTTTAGGAATTATTTATGTTTTGTTGGGTTTTAAAATAATTGAATCAAAGGACTTTTTTAATTTTGGCAGGACGGTGACAAGTGCTTCGCAAGCAAAAGTCCCCATATCTACTGCTGGCCAGACAGGACGAGTGATGACCATGGTCAGCCCTTCCACTGCTGGTGGAACTTCACAGAAACTTCAGGGCAATGGCATGACAGTTCACTCCAATGTGGTCCCAACTGCTGTGGTTTCTGCAGCACATATACAAACTAGTCCACAAACCAAGGTTCTTATGCACATGTCAGGGCAAATGACAGTCAACCAGGCTCGTAATGCTGTTAGAACAGGTAAAGAACTTTTGCGTCACACCAACATAGCTTGTGGAATTCACTGATGCAAGTGGTCAGTCAGATGATGTGAATTTATTTTTTGTAAGAGATGGATAATTTCTGAAACTCCAATACACCTTTCTGGAACTGCTGAATCACTCATTGTTCTTATATGAATGGAAGGCAGGACAAAAAAGTCCAACTTCATAAAAAAAAGTTTGGTGCTGCAGAATCCGGACCAGTCCCTGTCTCTCCTAAACTTCCCTGTTGAAGTTTTCATAGTATTCCTGGAGACATTGGGGGTGAGCAGGAGGGAAGAGGGCTTGTTCAAGTAAGGGCTATTAAAGTATACACATAATTTGGTGATTGTTCATTTCCTAAGTGAGAGACAAGACACCTTGGCTACTCTTCTGTATCAGAAACTGTATCTGATTTGTGAGCCATATCTGTCTTAGCTAGATAAGAGTGAATTACTACAGTGTTGACTCAATTTGCTCAAATTGTGAGAAGGGGGAACAGGAGACTCAAGTACTAGAAGATGTGGTTGCATGGTGTTGCAAAAGGATCTCAAAAAGTCTCTTGATAATGTTATTAGTAGCAATAATATTAGAGCAGATCTGTTCATATTCTCCTCAAATACTAATGTCAAAAGTCCATCAGGACTTCAAGTTCCTGAACACTGAGCAAATGAATATGTTCTCCACAGTCATGGATTAGTTCTTCTTCAAGTGGTTGCAGATATGTATTCCGTTCAGATGTGCACATCTCTGGCATACCAAAGCCAGAGAACTTTTCCTAGTACGTGTGGGCTTGTTGGTACTGGCTTTTTCATCCAAGGATAGTGCTACCTTTCAAGACACAATAGAACCATTGATTCTGACTATCAGAATGCCCCAGTTCCAACCCAACCCAACACGGGGACAAACGGAGACATATACTACATCAGAGGATATCTTCCTTTCTTATCTGCAATTTTCCATCCTTTTTTAGCTCCTGAGGAGATACTATGACACCAAAGGAAGACACTGCTTCAGTACCTCAGGAACAATCTCATCTCCAGTCATTGGGCAGTGTGCCCTGGTACTGATGGAGATCATTGGAAGGGGGAACATTTTGGGGTTCAGATGAGTCAGACTTTCTGGCCACTCCTCCATCTCCTTGGAGAGTGCTCTAACAGGAAGTCGATGAGGTATGGACACTACCCCTCCAGATGTGACTTCTCCAGGAATAAAGGGTAATTTTTGCCATGAATTCCCCCACAGGTGGTGTATCACTCTTTCTGGCATTCTTGGAGCTGATGGGACTAGATGCTAGAGACCCACCTAGGAATCTGACCACACTTCTCAGCACACACTGGATCCATCAGAGTATCAATGGGAATCTCATCTTTGTCTCTGAACAAAGCTGACACTCCTTACTTTCCATCTCTGCTGGACATCATAGGCTGTACCAAGAGCTATTGCCGAGGCTTTCCAGTGATCTACCTATATGGCAGAAGGTGGTCCAGGACACTCAATGCTGACTCCAGGATATTTTGCAATCTTCAAGCCCATATAAGGTTGTGCTTCCAGTTAACGAGGCCATCATACACTGCCTACATTGGTCTGACATATTCAAGCTTCATGAAATCCCCACACCTGAAAGAGCAGAGGTGGACCTACATTCTCACAAAGGGAGCTGAATTTGTTTTCTCCCATCTTGTGCCCAACTTTCTTGTGATATAGGCAACTCCGGAAAGTGTGAGGTTGCAACATCGAAAAACACCATGACAGAAAAGGCTTAAAGAGGTTTGTTATCTTGAAGAGACTGATATTTATTTTATGGGCCTGCAATTCCGTTTTGCTGTCGTGTCTTATTAGCTAAATATTTTTAACAGCTATTCAAGGCAGATGGTCTTTAAGGACAAGTTTCCTATTGAGGACAAAGCACAATTTCAGTCCTTCACTGGGGAGGTTAAGTTAGTAGCAAGAACATTCCTTCAGGCTGCAGGGGATGCAGCTGATATGGCATCAATAGAATTGGCCACTGGTTTAATCATGATGACAGATTCTTGGCAACATTCTTCAGGTTTCCTTAGAAAGTTTCAGAATAACATACGGAATCTTCTTTTCAACCCAAATCTCTTCAGATGATTCCCTACTCCTGTCAGATGACTACATGCTCCTTGGGGATTTCTGCACTAGCCTCGAGGAGAAAACATCAGAGACAAACACATGGGTCAAGGCTATTCTCTCCTGATGCCAATTCTTTAGTGAAATGGCAGAGATTCAGAATCCTTGCTTTTGGCCCCCTTAAGCACTGCAACCTCTACTCATTTCCAGCCTCCTGCAAAAGGCTGCATAAGTGTGTCTCAACTGAGACATCAAACAGCCACTGATGCTTGCCACCACTTTCCCCATTATGTAGGAGGCCATCTCACACTCTTCACCCACAATGTGGGCTTGATTGTAACAGATAGCTGGGTCTTGGAAATTATCAAGTAAAGTGATTCTTCATAAGGAGGCAGACAAATTCCTACAGCGAGGGGCAATAGAGTGCATATTTCCTTGGTATGAAGGAAGAGGGTTCTTTCTATTTCTTGTATTTTCTAGTCTCACAAAAAGACAAGTGAATGCATACCCATTCTGGACCTTTGGTAATTAAACATCTTTATTAGAAAATTGAAATTCAGGATGGGTGTATTACTGTCAATAATCGCTTTCCTACAGGAGGGGATGAGGTTTGTGGCTCTTGACATGAAGAACACATGCTTTCATGTAAACATTCATCCTTCCCTCTGAAGTTTCCTGCAGTTTACAATAGGACTAGAATACTTCCAGTTCAGAGTCCTTTTCTTTAGCTTAGCAACAGCACCCAGAATGTTTACAAACATTTTGTCTGTGGTGGTAGCCCAGATGAGCTGTCAGAGTTACAATTTTCCCATATCTGGATGGTTGACTCTTGTTAAGTCCTGCCAAGAGGTAAAGTTGGCAATGGGATTTTTGCTCCATCTTCTAGCAGACCTGGGCAGCTGAATAAACAAAGTGATGTCTGTTTTATTGTATGCCCTGGTAATAAGTTTCATCGGAAAAACACTGGACTCTGTTTATGCAAGAGCTTTCCTTCTCCTGGAAATATACCAGTTAATAAACAGCCTGATAGCACAGATTACTCGCAGACCAAAAACTATGATCAGAATAGTGATAGAAATGTAGCCGTGTTAGTCTGGGGTAGTTGAAGCAAAATGCAGGACAATGTAGCACTTTAAAGACTAACAAGATGGTTTATTAGATGATGAGCTTTCGTGGGCCAGACCCACTTCCTCTATGATCAGAATGTGCCTCTCCCTTTCAGTCCATGTGGCCTTACACACTAATGATAGGCTTTATTATGATGTCTACATGCCTGATTTTGGTAAGTCTATCACCAAAGATTACATTAACTCCAGGGTGATCATTCCCACTAGATTCATTGCCTCCCTTCATCTGATGATGAAACCCAGAGAGGGAGAATTCCCTTAAACACTCTTAGCCCCAGTATCACCCTCATAATAGACACTTTCCTTCTGGTTTGGTATGCTCACCTGAACAACCACGTTGCATAAGGAACCAGGATGTTCAGTGAGGCCAGAGTGCACATCAATATACTATAACTGAAAGTGGTCCACTTGCCCTGCAGAATCTTTCTTCTACTTATATATTCACATCATATCCAAGTGATCAGACATTACCCTCATGGTCTATATTCGCAAACAAGGAAGAGCAAGATCTCTTCCCCTTTGCCTCAAAACAGTTAAGCTTTGGAACTAGTGAATGACAAATCATATCACTATCTAAGTCACATATCTCCCAAGTTCTCAGAACCCTTTAGTAGACAATCTGAGCAGGCACTTCCCTGTGGACCACTAGTGGGAGATTCATAACTGTGTCCCAAATGAAGTAGTCATTCAGTAGGATACACATCCGTGGGCTCTTTGTGTCCCACATGAATAAAAACTTCACTTATCAGCCATAGCTTCCAAGATAGAATTTTGTTATTGTCACGGACAAATGATGACAGATATACTTTTCTTTCCATTCCCTTGCTACTACCAGCCCAGAGTAAGATTTGTCATGACAGCCATTATCATTCTCCTAGTGCCCAAATGGCTAAAGTAATTTTATTTCCAGAGCTCCTGAAAATGTCAGAATCCCCAGATCTCAAAACACCAGATCTCAGGGAGGAGGCAGAATAAGACACCCCATTCTTGGCTCACTCTGTCTCATGAACTGGTGTTTGTTTGGACATTGGAAGTAGACTGCTCTTTGGCATCTATTCATGCTATTCTTATCCAAAGTAGGAAAGAATCCAATAGGACCTGCTACCTAACATACTAGAGACACTTTTCCACCTTGGATGCAGCATGACCATATGAAAAGAAAAAAGATGTTTAGAAACAGTTCAGTGAGTCCTACTTAATAATAGAAAACCCTCTACTAGGTCTACTTATTTTCCAAGTGGAAGAATTTTCAGTTTGAATTTAACTATTTCAGAAATAGTTACTTCTAGGCAAAGATCTCTGGCTTTGACATGCTAGGCACAGGCTCAAGGAATCCAGCTGATGCTAGCTCACGTTCATTTTCAATTACCTATTACATCTTAAGTCCTCAACTCTGTCCCTCAGTTCAGTGAGGTTCTGCTTAGTGGTGATTTTTGCATACCATTTTCCAGTCCCAGGGAATTCCATGTATTCTCTCTCCATGACTGTAAGATATCTGAAAGGTCTTTTCTCTCTTTTCCCATCTGTAAAATAAATGATTTCCTTGTGAGAGCTTAACACTGTGCTAGCTAACTTGTTCTCTCTTCCTGTGTCAAAAGACAGCCTTTACTACTGTCATAACATCCACAAGGAGTGTAATTGAGCTACAGACTCTAATGCAGGGGTGGGCAAGAGAACGTCTGCAGGCTGGATCCAACCCACTAGGGAGATTGATCTGGCCTGCGGATGCGCTGTTGCTCTCCCCGCCCCCAGGCCAATCAAGACCTGGGGACAGTGGAGCATGCAAAGTCTTCTCCCTCCACTAGGAATGTGCAGTGCTTAGGGTGAGAGCAGGGAGTGAAGACTTTGTGCCCTCCCCTGCCCCCAGACGCTGACTGGCCTGGGGGTAGGGGAGCATGCAAAGTCTCCTCCCACCCTGCAAGGGGTTTGTGGTGCCTAGAGGGAACTGGCAGCTGTTCAGAACAGCTGACGGTTCCCTCTAAGAGCTGGGCTGCAAAGATTTCATGTGCTTCCCATCACCACCAGGCCAATCAGGATCTGTGGGCAGGGGAGCACAAAGCCTTCTGCATGAAGCCTCTGGGCTGGCTTGGAGCCACATAAAAAAATTTGTGAAGTGTCTCCCCCCCTTAAAAATTATTCCCCACCCCTGGTCTAATGGTAGGGCTGCATACTTTCACAACAGACTATGCTATTGTAACTGCATCTAGATCAGGTGCAAGGTTTGGAAAGGCAGTTCAACAGGCATTCTTTAAGTAGACTCCAAGCCCCACATTCTGCATTTCTGCTTGAGTCTTCTAAGTGGAATACATATTGGCAATACTTGAAGAAGAAAATGAGGTCATTTACTTGAACTATTGTAGTAAGATGAGGGCCTAAAACATAAGCCCATGCAGCACAGGCCTGGTTTGAGGCCTGAGGCCTAGTTAACAATGGGCAAAACATGGCTAACATAAAGCAAAGCTAAGCTGTGAGCAAGAGGCACGCCCCTGCTCACAGAACTTGGCGAGAACAGGGCTGAGTGCAAAACACTAATTGGTAATAGGCCCAGGTGCAGAACAATAATTGTTACTGGTCATAAATTGAAATCACTAGCTCGTTAAAAAGACTTTGGTACCCACTCCTCACAGATACAGACTCAGGGTTGGGGAAGGGTCTAAAATAACAGCATGATGGATAGAGATGATCTAATCAAACCACGAGGTACAGGGTGATGGGTGGTATCTAAATAGCGTCAGAGGATGGCAACCTGATTCATCAGCAGTGAGGTGTGATTTGTTGTACTTGTATATAAGGTGGTGTCTTGGGGGGGGGGGAGGAAAACAGCCTTTGAATGACCTAGGAGGCAATGGGACCTCCCACTGATTGAGTCATTCCATTGTGGCAAGTTCATATGTGTAGTGGTTCAGTAGAGTCTACTGACAACTATTACTCTACTTTGCTCTACATTAAACCTGGCCGGGCACCTTCAATCCTTATTTGGTGTGTGGTCTTTGGGGGCTCTCCTGGAGTCTGCTGTGGAGACTCAGTGCACAATTCTACATGGCACACATCACTGAGCACACGCGGAAGCAGCCTTCTGATGATTATCGACGGAGCCAGGGACCCTGTGAGGACACCTTGGCAGTAAATCCTGACCGACCGCCTCCTTGAAGAACTACAACTGTAACTGTTGTTCTTTGAGATGCAGGTGCAAATATGGTTCACCCTTTATCCCTTCTGTGTTGGAATCTCCTATCTGTGTTTTTGGTGAAAAGGAACTAAGGCAGGTCAGGGTGGGGCTGCCCTTAAATAGTCATGGGACAGGCTATGAAACACCAGAAGGCATGTATGCTGCCCCTACAGTTACTTTTAGGCAAAGCTCTCTGGCTTTAATATTCCAGGAAAATGCACATATGAGTAGAATATACATCTGCATCCATGTCTTTGAAAACAAATAGTCACAACAGAGGTATTTTTTTTCTCTGTTCTGGTTTGGGAAGTCTGATGTTGAGATGCTGTGTCATATCACCCACATACACTATTTACAGTTTTCTAGACTGGAGGGGTGATAGTGTGAGGGAACCTTTTTGTAATAAGTTGTTATAATACAGTGTCTGATGTCTCAATGACTATATGTCTTTATAATAATACTTCTCGTGTTTCCTCCCCTTTCCTTAGTTGCAGTACACAGCCAAGAAAGACCTACAGCAGCAGTGATGCCGATACAGGCTCAAAGTTCAGCATGCCTGGTCCCTGCAGCTGTGATCATTCCCCACCATTCTGTTGCTTCCCAGCAGCTCCAGTCTCAGCTTTCAAATGCTGCTGTTTATGTTAATGCTGTGAATATCAATCGATCAAATGTTCCAATGACTTGTGCAGCAGGTTCTTTCAACACTTCCAGCATCACTTCTGCGTCTTTGGATGGAGACATGAGTGGGAGAGTTGTGAGTGTTCACCCTGGTGCTCCTGCTTCTCCTGAAAATTCTTTAGGAGCTAGTGGAAATACTGGAGTCAGTAAACCAGATAAGGATAGCAAGGTGGGTGTGGCATTATGTTTGCATCCCAGGCAGTATCTCACTTCTCTATTTAATTTTAGACATATTCATATTTTTGTATGATTTAAGAGTTAACATATAAGTGGCCTTTTATAGACAATTCAACAAGTTGGGCATTCACTTGCATAGCTGTATGTTAGGGCGAGTCCATACTTGTGAGAATAATTTAGCATGGTGGGTGCATATTGGAACAGAGTTGTGATGGGATAAAGAGGAAGATACAGATTCCAGCAGGATTAGAAAAATGAATTGCTGCAGATCAGAGAGAACAGTTGCTCTGTTATTAGAATTCTTTATATTTCATGTGTTTTTTATCTGGATCTGTAATCTGATTCCTGGATGCTTCAGAGGACTCTTGCATAGTCAGCAACGCTAATCAGTGTAAGATAATAGGTGAGCCTGGAAACGTGAACTTATGGGAACATAAATTGTTCGGTCTAATAAAATAAAGTTAATATTTAATGAAAATCAGTATGTATTTACTGTATGCAACTTCCTTCAAAATTAAGTCAGAATTATATTTACCGTAAAATAGTAAAGGTAATTTTCCTCATTGTGTTAGTGTCGTAAATGAGAATATTGAAATTTACGAAAAGTTTAATTTCAAGCTATTCTGCTGAACAAGAAGAAGGTTGTGAACTAAAATGTCAGTCATAGAAAGTATTGGTCTCTTCCGGAGTCTGTGGTTAGTAGGTTTTCAATTAATCCATTTTCTTCCCTGTGCAGAATTGTTCCCTGCATTGTTCTCCAACACAACTTTCACTTTTAAAGTCAAGATTTTACCTCTCCCCATAGGAGTGTTTATTTCCTGCCTAATTGATCTTGCCACTAGGTTGCATTTGAGACAAAATACACTAAATTTTCCTTTGTTTTTTAATAGTATTATTTTATTTGTAGTTTATACCCCTTTTGACCACTTCCTTTAACTCCTAGGTTAAATACTTGTAGACATTTGTCTTGTAATTTTTCCCTCATAGTCATCACTTCGTAAGTACAGGCAGTCCCCGACTTACGCGGATCCGACTTATGTCGGATCCACACTTACAAACGGGGCTTTTCTCGCCCCGGAGCTCACGGGCGGTGGGTTGCCGCCCGTGTCCTCCGGGGCGAGAAAAGCTTCTCCCAGTCTCCCTGGTCTGCTGAGGGGGGGGTCCAGCAAAGCCACACGGGTGGCGGGGTCCCTCCGCCTGTGCGGCTTTGCTCGGGTCTCCCTGGGGTGCTGGGGGGAGTTCCCCCCAGCACCCCAGGGAGACCCGAGCAAAGCCGCACAGGCAGAGGGACCCCGCTGCCTATGCGGCTTTGCTCCTGTCTCCCTGGGGTGCTGGGGGGAGTTCCCCCCAGCACCCCAGGGAGACAGGAGCAAAGCCGCATAGGCAGCGGGGTCCCTCTGCCTGTGCGGCTTTGCTCGGGTCTCCCTGGTCTGCTGGGGAGGGAGGTGGCACAGCTAGTGCGCTCCCCTCCCCCCCAGCAGACCAGGCTTTTGTTGCGGGACGCCTCGGGTAGAGCAGCTGGGGTGCTGCCGGGTTGGTCCTGTGGGAACCTACAGGGCAGCGCCCCAGCTGTTCTGTCCCAGGCTCCAGATTCAGCAGCTGTTGAAACTGATCAGGCTGATTCCAGGAAGCTGGGGGCAGAGCAACTCTGCCTCCGGCTTCCTGTAGTCAGTTCCTGGTCAGTTTCAGTAGCAGCAGCTGAATCTGGAGCCAGTTCCGACTTACATACAAATTCAACTTAAGAACAAACCTATAGTCTCTATCTTGTACGTAACCTGGGGACTGCCTGTACATAAGTTGTTGTTGCAGTGTTTCCTCCAAAGGGTAATATCTGCTGCTCTTAATCATTTTTGTTATTCACTTTTAAATTGAGGTACCCAGTACTATGGATTCATAAACAGTAAAACCTGTGTTATTTGGCACGCTCAGGGATTAGGGCGTTCTGGTTATCTAAAAATTCCGGTTATGTAAGGTTCCTATCAACCTAGGAAAAACCAGTGAACAATAATAGATAAAACTCAAGTTTTTAATATTGGTAGTTTTATAGTATGAGGCAGTTGGTCTCACATTTCTATTTTGAGTTAAAGATGATTAGTACTTCTTAAACAAAAAAATGTTAAGCCTATTCTGTTAAACCAAGACAGGCCTGTGTGGCTGAAGATGTGATAATATTGTGGCTGGGGGAAATGCTGGTTAATAAAGTTTTCTGGTTAATAGAGTGCCAGATAGCAAAGGTTTCACTGTAATTGTGTCATTTGCAGCCAACTGAGATTAGACTAAAATGTCTTTTAGGCTAACTTCATTCTGGGGCGTACTAACAAGTCTCGTTTGCAATATTTTTGTAAACGTGTTAATTACTTATGCTAAACAATCTGTTCAGACGTTGCATTTAGCAATGACATTTTGACTTAGTTTCCCTGACCTGAGGAAAAGTTCTGTATAAGCTCGAAATCTTGTCTCTTACACCAAGAAAGCTGGTCCAGTAACTGGAATGTTTGTACATAAGATATAGGAGATAATTGTCACACTTAGCTTGGCCCTGGTGAGCCTCACTAGCATCTGTCCAGTTCTGAGTGGCACAGTCAAGGCTGTTCCCCCATTCTGGCACTTTGAGTGTAAAAGATGGGAGCCTGCATGAGACCTTAAAGTATCTTGCCACTAACAGCTTGGCTGTGTCTACACTGGCATGAATTTCCGGAACTGCTTAAAACGGAATACTATTCCTTTTTCAGTTTTTCCGGAAAAGGAGCGTCTACATTGGCAGGCTGCTTTTCCAGAAAAGCCCTTTTTCCGGAAAAGCGTCTGTGGCCAATGTAGACGCGCTTTTCCGGAAAAGAGCCCCGATCGCCATTTTCGCGATCAGGGCTATTTTCCGGAAAAGACTACTGGGCTGTCTACACTGGCCCTTTTCCGGAACAGTGTTCCGGAATAAGGACTTATGCCTGAGCGGGAGCAGAATAGTTTTTCCGGAATAGCGGCTGATTTTGTACAGTAGAGAGTCGTTGCTTTTCCGGAAATTCAAGGGCCGGTGTAGACAGCTCGCAGCTTATTCCGGAAAAGCGGCTGATTTTCTGGAATAAGTGGCCCAGTGTAGACACAGCCCTTGTGTTTAAAAATTCCCCAACGTCACACATTCCCTGCCCTTGGATTGCTATCACTACCAGTACACAAATGCAAGAATCCCTTTGAAAACCCAGGAAGGAGCACTTGGCAATGCCTTACTGTGAGGTACCCTCCAGCTCTTTTAGTCCTCCCTCTGGAGCAATGATCACCGATCAGGATTTGCCTGCAGATCTTGAAGCCTCTAACAGGTGGTTCTGACAGGTGTTCCCTCTGAGCTGAGGTGCAGTACAGCTTCACAGGTGATTTATCAGTCCTGCCCAGTCAGTCAGCTCCAATCATGGAGCCCTGAGCCTCTGACTGGGTGGGGCTGATTAATCGCCTGTGAAGCTGTGCTGCTGGGCAGTTTAGAGGGAACACCTGTCCTCACTGTTTTAGCTGGGGGATTATCAAGTGCCGGCACTTCAGCTACCTCTTCCCTCCCACTGCCATGCTTCTCTTGCCCTCTGCCTTGGAGCTGCTCTCCAGGAGCACTCCTGTTTACTGTGCAGGGTAGGGGAGGTAGAGGAGAAGGATGCTGATCTCAGGGTGTCCCCTCCCCCACCATGCACCCATCTCCACAGATAGGAGAGACAGGAAAGGGTTCAGGATGGAGGGAACTTACTGGCAGCTGCTCCTGTATCTGAATTTGCTCAGCACCCATAAAAGGGCAGTGAGAATCTCTATCACACTCTCACAGTGTGTGTGTCTGTCACTCACACAAGCACTCTCCAACCCAACACATACGTGGGGGGGAGGTGGTATTTCTTTTACTTTTTTCCAAGTGTGTTATTTTAGGTTTTTAACTAATCTGTGCATTTCATAATGTTTATTTCTCTCTTATGAGTAAGTTTAATTCTTTGAGCAGTGACTTCTAAAATGTCTAATGTCCCCAGCCTCTTGACCCAGCTTGGTGAAAGTGAATGTGTGGGGGAGAGGGCATGGATTGAGCAGGGTGGAACCTCAGAGAAGGGGTGGGACAGGAACATGACAGGTTTGAGGTAGATCTTGGATTGCGCTTAAATTCAAAAAGTAACCTTGTGCTTAAAAACATTGGAGACCACTGCTCTTGAAACTTTGAAAACTTTAATTTCTCTTAGTAGTTTGGCTTTTCAGTCTTAGGCATGTGCACACAGAAATTTCCTGGCTTCTAGGACACAGGAATCAGAATATGGTCTTACAAGGGTGACGTTTATTAACAAGAAAAATCACACTTGGTGAAACATTGCTTGGTTGCTAGATGTTAGAGAGCAACCGGAAAAAAAAGATTAAAAAACACAGAATTGCTTCCCTAGGATTCAGTTTGAAAGGTTACAGTGTAAAGGGGTAGTTCTTCAAGAGATGTTCCTGTGGGTGCTCCACATTAGGTCGGTGCGCCGCTGCCGAGCCCAGTGACAGATTTTTGACAGCTGTACCCCTGAGCCATGTATGCACCAGCCAAGAGAGCCACGCACTCCATAACTGCCTAGAGTGCGCATGTGCGAGCCTCTCGCTCTCTCCTCAGTTCCTTCCCCTTTGAGTCCATACCCCTTTTTCAACGCCCATCCCAGTCCCTCTTCAGGGACCACTCTGACGAGACAGCTCATCAGGAGGTCCAACACCTCTGCACCTAGGCGTCATGGAGCCAATCCTAGAACAGTTATGGGGAAGGGGATTTTACTCACACTACTTCTTAACCCAGAAATGATTGGGGGGATGGAGACCCATCCTGGACCTGTGTGCTTTAAATAAATTTGTCAGAAAGCAAAAATTCAAGATGGTGATGATGGCCACCATCGTCCCTCGACTTCTAGGACACGTATTTTCACATCTCTATTCACCCTGCTCATAGACGGTTTCTCTGGTTTTTTTGCAGGCATCTGCCATTACCAATACAGGGTCTTCCCTTTGGCCTTTTTACCACCCCACGTGTTTTCTCCAAGGTACTCACCGTCAATGTGGCTGCCCTCAGAAAGAATGATGTTGCAGTCTTCCCCTACTTGGACAATTGCCTCTTGGTAGCTTTGTAGTCACCTAATGTGGACCACCCACAGGGACATCTCTTGAAGAAGAAAAGGAGGTTACCTAACTCTACAGTAACTTGACATTCTTCCAGATGAGTGTCCCCGTGGGTGCTCCACTACCCTCCCTTCCTCCTCTCTACTTCAGCGTTATGCTCGGCAGACAGTGGACTACAGGGTAGAAAAGGAACTGGGCAGGCACATTTGCAGTCTAAGCAGTTAAGGAGCACGTGGCTGTCGTGGCCAGCGCATGCACAGCCCAGGGGTACAGCTGTCAAAAATCTCCATCATTGGGCTTGGCAGCAGCACACCAACCTAATGTGGACCACCCATGACAAATCTCATCTCAAAGAGCATCAGTTATTGTAGAGGTAGGTAACCTTCTTTTACATTTGCTTAGCAAAAATAAAGAAGAAAACCTGATCGTGCCTGACTAAACATTCCTGGTTCTACTCATATATCTGTATTTTCAAGACTTAACTTAGTCCTTTCCTAGGCATGGATGTCACTGGTTTCTCCATATCTGGCTCCCTGGCTTATTTCATGTCCTACCAGGCTCTCCTATGGCCACACAACAGGAACAAGAAGTGTCATGTCTCCCAATTCAAAAGCCCACACTCTGTTTCCATTGGCTCACCTGTCATCCTGTCAACTCACTTTCTGCTTCCCTAGCATTCCTGGGAACTTTTTTGGACCCACTGGCAATGATTTTAACCCTTGCAGGCAAGACAATTATGGTAAAGATAACTACTGAGAGAGACTTTAGTTAACTGAATGGCTGGAATGTCTAGAAAAAGGTTCCCTCTCTCCCTTCCTTCACAGGCTCACTTAGGAAAAATATGGACAAATTGGAGAGGATCAAGAGGAGATCAACAGATGATAAAATGTTTAGATAATCTGACAAAGAAAGGTTTAACAAATGGGCATGTGTGTTTTTGTAGAAAAGACTGAGAGAAGACCTGTTAGTATTCAAATGTTAAGGACTGTTATAAAGAAGACAATAATCAATTGTTTTCCATGTCCACTGAACAAAGGACAAGAAGTAACGGTCTTAATCTACAGCAAAATATTTACATTAGATACAGGGTTGCACCTCCCTAAACCAGGACTCTCTGGTCTGGCAGCATCCGGGGTCCAGCAGGGTGAGAGAGCTCCAGGACAGAAGGGCCAGCAGCTGGGATACTTGTGCAACCCAATGAGGCTGCTGGTAGTAGCTGGCCATGGCAGCCCAGAAGTGGCAGCTCAGCTGGGGCAGCTTGGACATGGCAGCTTGGCAGGGACAGTCTGGCTGGGGCCATGGCAACCCAGCTGGGCCTGGAGCAGCCCAGCAGCGCAATCAGGGCTGTATCCTGGCCCAGCAGCCTAATTGGGTTGCATTCCAACCCAGCAGTAGGATCAGGGCCGTGGCAGGGCATGCCCAATCAGGGCTGCAGCAGCCCAACAGTGGAGCTAGAGCCACGTGCCACCCAGCAGTGGATCTGGTACCATGGCAGCCACTCTGAGTTGCATGCTGCCTAGCCAACAGCAGGGCTGTGGGTAGCTGTGCCAACCAGCCTGCAGCAGAGTAGGGTGTCAGGCAGCCCAGTCAGGGCCAAAGAAGCCAGCAGTGGGGAGCGGTGATGGAGTCAGAGGCAGGGGACCTCCCCAGATCTGGAAAATTCTTTCATTTGGGACTAGTCAGGTCCCAAGTGTGCTGTACCAGGGAGCTCCAACCTGTACTGGGGAGGGGGGGTGGAAATCTAACTATAAGAGTGGTTAAGCTCTGGGACTGGCTGTCAAGGGAGGTTGTGGAATCACCACCATTGGAAATTGTTAGAACGGATTGGGCAAATATATATGTGAAGGGTGGCTTGAGTTTTCTTGGTCCTGCCTCAGTGCAGGAGGCTGCACTTGATGACTAAGTCCTTTCTAGCTCTATATGTCTATGATTTTGTCTTCAGGGGTTCCTGTCTGACTGAGTAAAAAGAATGTTGAAGAATCCATATTATTCTAAAAGGAAAGGTGTCTGTCATGCTGTCTGTCACAGAACATTTGAGAATAAACTGGAAAACTTGAGAAGTTTCTAGAAAATGCCAGGATGAGTGAGAAATGATGAGTCGAGGAGAACCCTGCCTTGGGGCAGGAGTGGGCGCATTAGCAGCAGGTGGTCTGGTGGGCAGGGTTGGGAGGGGCACAGCCAGGGCCCCTTGGGCTGCCATTGATGGGGCTTAAGGCAGGGTTCAGTGCCTCCCCAGCAAGTGGCTGGCAGGTGCAGCGGGGAGCTGGTGGCAGTGTTGCCATGCAGATGTGTGCCTGCTGGAGTGAACAGCTTGTGGGCTGGGGCCCCGCACTGCTCCTGCGCCTCAGGGGCAGCCTGTCAGGCAGGTGAGAGCAGCAGGGGCAGCAGAGCATGGCAGGGGGCAGCTGCTGCCATGGCATGATGACTTTTCCGAGCAGCACATCGGGCCCAGGAACAAAGGGAAGTGGGAGATGTGAGTGGTGGGGCTGGCAGTTAATCCCTGCCCGCTGCGCTTCGCCTGTCCCTCCCTCGCCCCACCCCCCAGCTAGTGCCTCTCCCGGGTCTTCCCACACCCTGCTCCATGCCTGCCCCTGTGCTGCCTGCTCCCTTGCCCCACCTCGCCGCTGCATCCTTCCATCTCTGCTGCCCCTCAGCCCACTGAACTGCAGCTGTGATGTGGGGCTCAGCTATTGTTTATAATTCTTCCCTGTAGCAAGAAAAGAAAATCCAGATAATAATCTCTCCTCTTTCCTTGGATCATCCCCTCTAACCCAAACGCTTAGCTTCTAATGTCTGTCTCTTAAAGAGCCTTCAACTGGTCTCTCCACCTTGTAAACTCCTTTTTGAACCATAGTTGTTGGCATTTGAGGCAATCAATTGAGAGTGTTCTTTGTCTCAGCTAAGTGAAGTGCAGCCCATTTGTGGTCCTGCTTAAGTGAAGGTGCATACATTCCTTTGCAGCAGGAGTCTTTTTCTTTTTCAGTTACTAAAAAACTATACTGCATTCTTATAACAGAAACTAGAAAAAGATAATTCATACTAACATTTAATAGCACTCCTTAGTTTGCTAGATTTAATCAAAATAGTGACTTTGTGGAAGTCTTAAAGCATCCGTCCTTGTTAATTCACTCCTCTGTGATGAAAATTACAATGTATTTTAAAAATTTATTACTTCATTGTCTGGCAGGTGTCTATTGTTTTTAAATGATTTTAATTTACACTATTTATTTTTGCTTAACAGAAAGAAAAAAAGGGTTTGCTGAAGTTGCTTTCTGGAGCATCTACCAAACGCAAGCCCCGAGTGTCACCTCCATCATCACCAACTCTGGAGGTTGAGCAAGCAGCTGCAGAGATGGCCCTACAGGGTGCTGTAGGGCCTGAGGTTCCATCATCTATTGGCCATGGCAGAGCTGGATTCTGTCCTGTGGACAATGAACTCTCTGCAGCAGCATTAGCTCAGGAGACTGTGCATCGGAAAACAAGTTCTTTGGATTCTAGTATTCCTATAGCACCTCCACCTCGACAGCCATGTTCCTCATTGGGACCAATCCTGAATGAATCCAGGCCTGTTGTTTGTGAAAGGTAACTGCACGTGTCTAAACTGAGATACAACTGACTCCATTCAACAATATTTATTAGAGCTGGCAGAAATTATTCAAAATATTGGCTACATTTGAAAATTTTAACAAGAAATTACAATTTTCATGTTTTTTTCTGAATTTTTAACAAATTATAAAGTCACTTATAATATTTTGATTTTTTTTATAAATTCCAATGTTTAACAAATTTTAAAAAAAATCAAATTCTTGATTTTTTTTTTCGGTTCATCAACCATCTCGGATAGATAAATAGATAGATAGATAGATATTTTCTTCCTTTACATTATTTAATGATTCTGGGATCCAGAAGCCATCATACTGTAGTAGAAAGCAGAACTTAAGAACCTTCTCAAATAACTTATGCATATGAACTATGTATAGTCCCATTATTAATAGTGCATAAAGTTCAGTATAAGTCTTTGTGGGATCAGGTCTTTGCTTGTGAATACTAGGCCATTGCAGGGTATTATCATACAACTGTGTTCCTGATTCTGAATCTCTTCCGCTGGGCACTAGTACAAAACTATATTCTGAAAATCCTTGTTAGTTTTCTGACTCCGTCATTCTTAATTCACACACAACAATTAACCACAATATACCCTCATTGTTTCACACTTCAGTGTTACCCAATGGCTATAAAGTGAGTAGCATTTTTTTCCAGTTTTTATTTTCCTCATGATTTGTGCAACTGTTGCATCAGTGGCATCTTCTCCTTTCAGACTCCCGTACCTACCTATTTCTGTAACATCCAGAAAAAATATATTGTTGCACTGTTTGAATAATGGTTCTAGTTTTAATGTGAACTCCAATGATGTTAGCCAATGTTGGGGGGAAATTTATGTTTGGTAGCAAATGTTTCTTTATCTGTGTACAGTTTTAGACTTGACCCGATCCTGTAATTCACTACATACAGGCATGCCACTGTGTCTGTGCAGAGCCCCATTGTAGGTTATTAAAAACAATATACATTGCATGGTGGTCTATAAATTCTCATTTCTTCTGTTGTCTGACATCTGTCTTAATCACACAGTTAAATTTGTGAAGAGGTAATTATTTATTCTGTGTAACATACATCCATTAGAATGTCTATTTCATATGTAACTCAAAGATAGATTTAAATTTTTCTCTCTGAGTATAAATAAATAACGTTTGAAATATTTTTAAAAAACATCCTTTAATACTGATTTCTTCGAGAGATGTCCCTCGTGGTGTTCCACTGGAGATATCAGTGCTTCCTGGCTCCACAGACCGGATTTTTCATAGCATTGCATGGGGGGTATGCATGCAAGGCACACAAGCACCTTTCGGCTGTACCGCACATGTGCGGCCACTCTCCCTTAAGTTCCTTCTTATCGTCCCTGGCTCAAGACGGACGTTGGCAGTGCTCTCTGTTCCTCCTTAGGGCAGTAGGTAAGTAGTCACCAGGCTTTAAGCACTGTTCAGGTTCAATGAGGCAATGCCTGTCTCTGACGGACATACTAAGTGTGTCAGATGCCTCAGAGAATCCCATGTCCAACAGGACTATCAACATTGTGCCAAACTTAAAGCGCGAACATGGAGAGCTAGGCACCTCCATCTGAAAATGATAATGCTTGAGAGGGTACAACACCCCTCTTTCGACCTGCGCACACTGGGGACTTCCAAATCTGAAGTTGATAAAATGAAGAAATCCTCAGAGACACACCTCTTCTTTACCACATGAAGGCTGGTCGTCCAACTGGTGCATAACTGAAAAACTAATGCACAGGACTGAGAAACCACCGTACCTCAGCACATACGAAGCCCCAAGCACTTACGCTGCCGACCGTAATGCGCCACTCATAGTGCACATACGGAGGCTACAGGCCCTTCAGTGCCTGCCATATAGATCTCGACACTAAGTATGGCTCCAGCCAACGCAGCGCCTGAGCTTGCAGCACCAAGAGTGCTCCACATGGCACTGCAACAACAGCTTATCGGCACCATCCTGTCATCTCAAGGGGCTGCAAATACATCGGCCACACTAACAAGGGTGGAGTCAGCACAAGCTACCGTCATGGTACCTTCCATTCCCACACCTACCTGCCTACATCAGAGGGACCTAGCGGTATCATCAACTTTCAATTTTCCGTTCCTTGGTACAGACAAGCTAGCTTACTCAGCGGTACCTAAACATATCTTGTCACCTACTTTATTATCTAGTGACAATGATGATGAGCAAGGGATTTTTTTCACTCCAGTTATCACCAAGCACAGAGACATCAGGACATTCATCCCATGCCAGTTTTACCCAACCTGTCACTGCGGGTATGCCTCCCTGGGCTCCATATCCATGGATGCCGTTACCCATGCATTATCCAGTGCAGTGGCAATACTGGAGTCTATGGTCAATACTTCCTGCCTCATCTCCGGAAGACATGTCAGAATATATACCAATAATACTGCTTGCATGTTTTATATAAACAGACAAGGTGGGGCACAATCCCATGCCTTATGCACGGAGGCTATCACCCTAGGGAACTGGTGCCTTATTTATGGCATCTCCTTAAGCGCATTCCATCTCTCTGGCATCCTAAACACCACTGCCGACATGCTAAGCAGAGCCCTACTATGGGACCATGAGTGGCAGATCATTTAGTCAGTCCTTGCAATAATATTTGCACAATGGGGATATTCCCAGATAGACTTCTTTGCCACCATGGCAACCAATATCTGCTCCCTTTATTGCTCCAGGGCAGGTATTGGAAAAGACTCACTGGGAGATGCTGTTATTCTCAAGTGGGATCATCAACTACTCTATGCATTCCCTCCAATTCCCCTCCTCAACAGAACAATTATTAAAATACAGAGGGCCAGGGCCATGGTCATCCTCATAGCCCCCTGCTGGCCTCAGCAACCTTGGTCCCCCTTCCTGAACAGAATAGCCCTATGTCACCCAATCACACTCCCTCAGAACCCAAGGATCCTATTCCAACTAGGAACTTAAGCCCCACATCTACAGTTTCCAACACTGCACCTCAAGGCTTGGTACCTCAGTGGTTTGCAGGCATAGAGCTATAGTGCTCAGCCCAGGTACGAAAGGTGCTCCTCCGCAGCAGGGCCCCTTCAATGTGAAAGACATATAGTCATAAATGTTCTCGTTTTGTGCACTAAGCCGCTCCCCGCAACATAGCCCCGGAGACAGCCCCACTACCTGCAATACTTGAATACTTACTGCACCTTAAGCAATCCTATCTTTCCATCAGCTCAATTAAAGTGTGATGCTCTAGCAGCCATCGCAGTGTTCCACATGAGGATTGATGACACTACAATCTTTGCACATCCCATGACCAAACGCTTCATAAAGACCTACAAGCATTATATCCTGACATAGCTACACCACAGGCACCAGAGGACCTACATTTGGTGCTAAATACGCTCACAAAACCTCTATTAGAACTTATGGCCACATGCTCCCTTCTTCATTGATCCCTAAAAATAGTATTCCTCATTGCAATAACATCAGCCCGTTGGGTAGGAGAGATGGCCACCTAATGGCAGATCTGCCATACACTATCTTCTTAAAGGATAAGGTATCTCTATGGACCCTTCCCAAATTTCTACCCAAGGTACGCTCTGTGTTCCACATCAATCAGATAATCCACTTACCTGTGTTCTTCCCCAAATCTCATACCAATATCTTTGAAGCACAAATGCATACCCTCAACCTACTTAGGTCACTTTCCTTTTACCTCCATAGAACAGGACCCTTCAGGGCATCCCCTACACTCTTCATCTCCATCGTAGAATGCAACAAGGGGCACCAGATATTATCATAAAGATTGTCCCACTGGGTCTCAGACTGCATCAAAATGTGTTATGACCAGAATCACTTACTACCACCTATCTCGATTTGTGCCCATTCTACTAGGGCAGTCACCATTTTGGTCACTTACCTGCGAAAGATTCCTATTGAAGATATCGGTGCTGCTCCTACATGGACATCAGAACAAACCTTTGTGAAACATTATACACTTTCCAGTGGCCCTCTTCACTCCATGAGGGTGTCGAAGGCAGTCCTGACAACGGCTTATCTCCCTGATCCAAAGTCCCTACCTCCATAGGACATATTGCTTTGCAGACACCTCCTGTGGAGCACCCCCAGGGACATCTCTCGGAGAAGAAGAGGAGGTTACTTTTGTCATGAACGTTCTTTGAGATAAGCATCCCTGGGGGTGCTCCACTACCTTCCCTTCTTCCCCTCTACTTTGGACCCTTTTCTCTCTTAGGCCGGGTTCCGGATAGAGAAGAAACTCAGTGGAGGATGGCCATGCATGTACAGTAGTGCAAACTGCCTGTGCCCCTCGCACGCCATGCATACGTGGTCCCATGCACTGCCATGAAAAATCTGCTCTGCAGTGCTAGGACTCACCAGCACTTTCTTTGGCGCACCCCCAAGACACTCATCTTGAAGAACGTCAGTTATAGCAAAAGATAAGTAACCTCCTCTTCTCCTAAATTTACTTGAAACAGTAGTGTATCTGAAAATCACACCATTTGATGTCTCAAGTGGATATTTTTCATAGGCCTAAGTGATTCTCCATAAAGCAGGCTTTCCAAAAACATTACAGTGTCTTCTGTTCTCAAAGCTCACTCATGGAAAACAATTCTGAACATTTTTTTATTAATCTTTAAGTAACACATTTTAGAAAGATCCTGTCTAATATGATGTACTCTTATTCTATAATTGGTACAAGAGTAAACAGCTATCCCCAAACCATGCCCTTCCCAATCATTAATTTATTACCTTTCATCAAATGTTCTTTAATTGGAAACTTCAGCCTTTTTCACTGGTTTCTCATTGTCCCTTCTTTTGAAGGGTTAATTCCTCCCTCTCTAGTGCTGCTCTAGTCCTATGTTTCCATTGCCAGGACACTTGTTCCTAGGGTTGCCAGATGGTTTCAACAAAAAATACCAGACACACTTGATATTACATCACAATCTACATTACATCTTATTTAGAAA